ATTCCACCTTGGACAACCAGGAGTCCATATCTCAATCACTTAGAGCATGTTTGGGACAGAATACGTCAGAGATATCCTCTATTATAGCTAAAATACATACCCCCTCCTTTCAAAATTCCTGGATCCGCCCATGCGGTCAGTCAACCCCGTCAGAGGTTGGTTTTGAGTAAACTTACAGTCAAATTCCTTCATTGTTTCCTTTTTCTTTTCAACACAAATTCCATGTATGTTAGCAATAATAACGGTAATGCTATTTTTGAGGGCATTATCATTTGCAGAAGACCGCGGGCTTCTGCAAATGATAATGCCCTCAAAAATAGCATTACCCTTATAGTATAGTATATAATTTTGATGTTTTTGAACAAGTCTTCCATTAAGGGACCGTTCATAATATATGGTTGGGGGTGTCGATGGTGATTTTTGTGGAGAAGCATGTACAATGGGAATGCCCTCCCCCCTAAAGTTTATGTACAAAGTAAGTGCCCCCCCTGCATGTAATGTACAACCTCCTCCCGATATGTTTTAAGCATAATTTCTAAGTATATACATGTAACCGCCCCCTCCCCCCAAGTAAATGTGTACAACATTGATGACCACCCCACCTCCCCAGAACAAAATGGGACACACACACGCGCACACACACGCACACACTTTTAACGTCTTACGTTCTATGACCATAGCTACCAGCACTACAAAATGAGTAATGTTTTGCCGTTTGCCGTGTTTGCTTCTTTGTATAAACTACAATTTGTCAGTAAATTATAAAATTAATGTTCTCTCTGTGTTGGACACATTACACACAGAATTGTAAGGGAATGTGTCATTCTATGTGCCGACGTCACACACATGTGTCTGAATTGTAGGGCCACATTTTAATAAGCTGTGTGTGCACGTGCGGCTGCTTGTAAGTGAACCATCCACATAACAAATATTCCTTACATTTTGCTATGAATGTATTAATATATTTGAATAATTTCAATGTCCACAGTTACATTTTTAAGGATCAGTTCAATAAAACCAGAATATTTGTCTTTTTAATACGAAACATCATTAATATTATTGTCTGAATGTTTTACTATATAGAAATTAAACAACACAAAGAGAATTGTCTTTTAATACGAAAAAAAAATCTTTACTAAAAAATAAAACAATCTTTAAAAGGATACCTTACGAGGGTTGCGTTGCATTGTTTTCCTGTTTTGCTTTCATAAAGTTCTTGAAAATGTCTGATTTTCTGAATATATGTCAGATCTATGACAAATATATCTTGTGAATATTAATACGTAATTAACACCCGTTTGTCATATCAGAAAATTGTTATGACACATAGTTAATATGCCACGTAACGCGAAGACATATTTTCAGTTTCACATATATTGAGTCAGCCACAAGAGAACGTCAGTCGAGCGTGTGCCATATGTTTATGTATCCACGTCACTGATTGGGCGAGCCAGGTCATGTGATGACGCGTAACTATTTATATCCCATGATCACATCGTTTGTTTACAACGAACACCTGTCACGTGGGATAGTCGGGAGTGTATAAATAACCACGGGACAAAGCTCGCCACAGCATCTCGCAAACATCGCAGAAAACTCACCGTGTCAGCGTTCCTAGCCCAGCATACAAACAGAATCATGAGAGGCCAGGCAGAGAAAATGTCTAAACTTACTTATTACATCGACAACAATCTTGATGAGTATGACCATTATAGCATGGATCAACACAAATACATTCATCGAGGCAGCAGCGGAAAGGGGAGGTCAAAACTGGAGGCAGCTCTCAACACAAACAGACCCGACCCTTGCGGTCATACGAGGAAGATAGTCCAGAAACTGAGTAATTCTGACAAGAAGCACACGTCTTGAATGCCAGTAAAGGTATGTGTCTAATTTCGTTTGATTATTCAAATTACATTATATTTTTTGTTTGGAGATTGCTTGTTAATGACTGGTACCAGGCGGTAGATCGTATACAATAGAGGGCCGATGAGAGAGAGAGAGAGAGAGAGAGAGAGAGAGAGAGAGAGAGAGAGAGAGAGAGAGAGAGAGAGAGAGAGAGAGAGAGAGAGAGAGAGAGAGAGAGAGAGAGAGAGAGAGAGAGAGAGAGAGAGAGAGAGAGAGAGAGAGAGAGAGAGAGAGAGTCAACGAGAGAGAGAGTGAGTGTGTATGTAACATTTCGACACCACGTTCGCTCTTCACACTGAGAGAGAGAGAAAAAACGAGAGAGAGAGAGAGAGAGAAAGAGAGAGAAACAAAGAGAGAGAGAGAGAGAGAAAAAGAGAAAACAAGATGGAGAGAGAGTCAATGAGAGTCAATGTGTGAGTGAGTGTATGTAACATTTCGACACCACGTTCGCTCTTCACACTGGAGAGAGAGAGAGAGAGAGAGAGAGAGAGAGAGGAGAAACAAGATGGAGAGAGAAAAACGAGAGAGAGAGTCAATGTGTGAGTGAGTGTATGTAACATTTCGACACCACGTTCGCGCTTCACACTGGAGAGAGAGAAAAAACGAGAGAGAGAGACGTGTCGCTCTTCACACTGAAGAGAGAGAAACAAAAAGAGAGAGAGTGAGAGAGAGAGAAAAAGAGAAAACAAGATGGAGAGAGAAAACGAGAGAGAGTCAATGTGTGAGTGAGTGTGTATGTAACATTTCGACACCACGTTCGCTCTTCACACTGGAGAGAGAGAGAGAGAGAGAGAGAGAGAGAGAGAGAGAGAGAGAGAGAGAGAGAGAGAGAGAGAGAGAGAGACGAGTGGTTAAAGCGTTCGCTCTTCACACTGAAGACCCGGGTTCGATTCCCCACATGGGTACGAGGCCATTTCTGGTGCCCCTCCCCCCGTGATATTGCTAAAAGCGGCGTAAAACCATACTCACTCACTCATGGAAAAACGTATCGCAGCACCGCATTGATGTACCACGTTATCCATATGTAAGAACGCTGTAACTTGATATCATACTCCCCTACTCCCCAACAGTCGACCTTCCAGAACGGAGGAGGGTGGGGTAGTCTTGTTTTAAAAGCGTTCGTTCATCACGCCAAAGAGACTCACGTTCGAATCCCCATGCACATGATAATAATTAGTAGTTCAGTGGTACATTTATGGCGATTTCATTGCGCTAATGAACCTGGCGAAAACGTGTTTCTAAAAAATCAAATCGATCTGTACATTTTCTGCACTGTTTAACAACGCCCATTTTCTTCCTCCTCTACATGTATATTCAACACAGTCGCGGTACACTCACAACCTGTACGCGGACAAACAGCCATCCTGGTTTATGACCCGAGAGAAGAGCGACCATTAACATGTCACTATAGCTGCAATTAACCTGGATTTTCGTTTTGTGTGTGTTCGCTCGCGGACATTTGATGAACAGCGTTAATGGCACATTGATGAGTTTCAACCACACGCACCCAATAATCCTGGTTTGACGTCACTTGACGCTTCGTAACGATGACGCAACGGTAGGGTTCATCGTGCTTTCGTAATTCTGCATGGCTTTCGTTTAGTATTGAAGGTGCGCTAAGTAAAGGGTTTTCACAACGAATTATGGCGGGCGATATTACGCTCATTCTCGTGGTAACACATTACAGTATCTCATTAGTCTGTCTCACACCATCCTCGATAATAACCAAGGTATACGATCGAACATCCTCGATAATCTCCAGGGTATACGTTACAATCACTCTCCACTATACCCTGGATGCATCCACGGCTTGGCCCGATAATTATATTACCTCCCATTGCTGGCTCCGCATTCTCACAGTAGCCAATCAGCTAAGCCGCCGTTACATCCGGGCTTGCCAGTGTCAACGAAGATAGCGGTCGCAGCCGCGAGGGTTTGTTCGCAGTGCCACTCAGATTTTTTGGGAAATCATACAGACAAATGACAGATCTGAAACTTAAAAAAAATATATGAAAGAAATCCTTCCGCCTCTTTCAGAGTACCTCTGCATCAACTGTGTTGCTAAGTTTAAAGGGTTACATAATTTAAGACGCGAAAGTGAGTTTTGATTGGTTCGCTCAACTTACCAGCGTAGACACCTGATCGGATAAAAATCCAGCCAAGGGAGGTAATAAAATCATCGGTCCAAGCCGTGGATGCATCCAGGGTATAGTGGAGAGTGATCATAACGTATACCCTGGAGATTATCGAGGGTGACGATCGAACCGCAGTCCCTGAACCGCACTATTTTCCCACGCACCTAGCCCTCCCTGCAATGCCGAGGTTCTAAATGAAGCAAGTCTAGATGGCCCACTGGTTTGTGGGCACGTTTTGCAGAAGACCGGTTCGGTCAGTGAGTGAGTTTAGTCAGTCTACGCCGCACTCAACAATATTCCACCTATAGGCGGCGGTCTATAAATAATCGAGTCTGGGCCAGACAATCCAGTGATAGACATCCATACATCCAATAGCATGAGCATTGATCTACGCAATTAGGATACGTGAGTGAGTTTAGTTTTACGCCGCACTCAGCAATATGCCAGTTATATGGCGGCGCAAATATACTACCCATCAAAAGTTTAGACTCACTTAAAGCACTCACAATATGTTATGTATATATACGGTTACATCGAAGTTGGATTTCTCCACAAACTTAGGGGAACCATCTGCAAACCTTATGCAGATGAATTGCACGAGGATCATGCATCCGTTTTCTGAAAAGCATGTGCAAATATCGTGCATGTGAACAGCTGCGTTTTGGTGTAAAGTTTTGTTAAGAATTCGCCAATTGTCACTGAGTTTCATAATTTATTGAACTCATGAAAATAATTTTTTCAACGTTACGAATTTGTTTTACAATACATCTGTTCATGTGTAAACAGTACCTTTACACATTATGGAATATTTAGCAAAATCTAGTTTAGAACAGTTGACTGAAGTAAGTGGCTACATTTACACTGGTGAATCTAAACTTTTGATGGGTAGTATAGAATACGTCATGAAGGAGTGAAGTGATATGGGGTTTGCGTCGCGGTGAATATTGTTTTGCATTTCTACAGCAAAGGACAATGCAAAGTAATAAGGAGTGCCAACTTTCCGCTCCGAGTAGGCTCTATAGCTACCCACCAGATTATGGAGACGATCGGGTGTTGACAGAGTGAGTGAGTTTAGGTTTACTCCGCTTTTAGCAATATTCAATCAATATCACGGCGGTGGACACCAGAAATGGGCTTCACACATTGAAACCATGTGGGGAATCGAACCCGGTCTTCGGCGTGACGAGCGAACGCTTTAGCCACTAGGCTACTCCCACCGCCCCCGGTATTAAGAGAACATCCCGAAAGCTTTAATAATATGCAGGAGGACAGATACCTTATATAATACATACATATTGTTGATAAAATGTCCTAAGCCATGATGTGCTCAGAAGCTGAATACTTCAAGCAAACACGGGTTCACAGTTACTGGTTTGTGTGTAACACATGCTGTGACATCCCGCCGAGTCCCCCTATATATAAATTTGGTATATCGATAAAAAATAATAAATTTTTTTGATAGAATGTATTCCAGGGTCAAATATCCAGGGTCAAAATCAAATGAATACTTGATAAAATCAATGAATACTGTTGTGTGTCATTTTCAATTAATTTGCCCTGATATCCTGATTTTTACATAAAACTAATCTTTTATTTCAGATATCAGGACAGGACCACACACCACGGACCGTGCAATACTCAAAGTGCCCCTGAACTCACGACAGGAATGCGATAGAAGGATTACGGTGACGTCACTAGTATGACGTCATGGATGCACGTGCATCGAGATGAGCGCAATGGAGGAGATCACAAATCGAGGGCCTAGCTGTCTCACGCTACTTCATGAGGTCCATGTTCTTTTGTCAGAAAATGATATTTGATTACCTCGTGGGTTGCCTTGTCAAAATACTGTTTGTATGATATTAAGGCTGTCTCGATTTGTATGTGTTTTTTAAAAAAACCCATAATAAACATTTTGGTGTTTTATTGTTGTATTTATTTATTGTCGTGGACACAAGATAGGTCGCCAGGTAAAGCAAGTATACTCATGCCAATAATGGTTGTCACACACACACACCCTTTTCCCCCACACACCTCACAAACAACCCCCCATTAAAATTTTTTTGTCTGTTTGGTGACAACCATTATTGGCATGACCTATATATGTGATGTTCTGGTAACGAATTAGGGTGGCAAGTGATCGTGATGAAGTGTCGGTTGCTGCATTCTGGTTGTGGGTTGCAAGAGGTGAGACTGGGTTTTCATATTACGAATCTTTGCTTTTGCATGCGTGTGTTGTTTGTGCGGCTTTGTTAGTTAAAGCCAGCCCACTGAGACCTCCCGATCCTCTTACTTGACTCTATACGACAAGCATGGGTGGCTGAAGATCAATCTAACCCGGATCTTGACGGGCAAATATGTCTTTGTATGTCATATAGCTGCGGTATTGCTGACTGCAGTGTTTAGAAACAAGAACTAAACGAAAACACTCTGTATGTCAGTACCTCGACGTCATACGTCTTGTCAGTACCTTAACAGATGCCGTCATATGTCTTGTCATACATGTAGCAGAACGGAAGCAGTCATGCGTTTTGTCATGTCAATACCTCGACGGTAAAAGTCATGCGTCTTAACATGTCAGTACCTCGACGGTTGAAGTCATGCGTCTTGACATGTCAGTACCCCGACGGTTGCAGTCATGCGTCTTATCATGTCAGTAGCTGGACGGTTGCAGTCATGCGTCTTGTCATGTCAGTACCTCCACGATTGCTGCCATGCGCCTTATCATGTCAGTAGCTGGACGGTTGCAGTCATGCGTCTTGTCATGTCAGTACCTCCACGATTGCTGCCATGCGCCTTATCATGTCAGTAGCTGGACGGTTGCAGTCATGCGTCTTGTCATGTCAGTACCTCCACGATTAAAGTCATGCGCCTTATCATGTCAGTAGCTGGACGGTTGCAGTCATGCGTCTTGTCATGTCAGTACCTCCACGATTGCTGTCATGCGCCTTATCATGTCAGTAGCTGGACGGTTGCAGTCCAAACTTAAAATTCCATTCTGTCAACATGGTTGGTTGCTGCATGTTGAACCAATATTTTCCATATTGCGCAAAGAAGAACTGCCATACTCTGAAGTACAGCAAATTTCAAACTTTATCATAGCGGACTTTAATACAGTTGGGCCTTGGTCAAGCAGGGAGACGCCTACAACACCCTATGTAATAATACGTTTATGTTCATAATTTATACAAGAACAATGAATAAGGTGAATCCAAATGAATCGAACTGTCACATTATTCGTGACGAGTAAGTTCATCCCCGGACCACGCGGTCTATTAATCTCCAATATACAGCAAGTATACATTACTCACGTTGTTCCGTGCAACCAATGATTGTGATGCGGAGATGCAGCTGGGACGGCATCGATCCCAAGTCACGCGGGCCAGTCACAACCACCTTACCTGCTGTTGTCGGAACGTGACCAAGGTGCACTGGCTCAACATGTTCTGTGTTAAAATTAGTAAACCCAAACTGCTGGTTCAGGAAAGAAACCGAAACATGGATGAATCATGTGGCAATCTAAATCTAAATTCTTTTACTGCGTGTAAGTGACGCATTCCACACGCACGAAGCCTTAGTGGAAAGAACGAATGTGTACAATACGAGGATACATATGCCAAGTTTAACCCCTTCGTGTGGAAATATATATACCTACTATTGTTAGAATTTAAGAAATGAAAAGAAAAAATCCAAAAAGGTAAAACAACTTCTCGTGTTCGCCGATTCCATAGTTTCCTGTTGTGGAAATGTATTGTAAGCAATTATTGTCAGATCTTCAAGGGAGTAATTGGTTTCATAAACTTCAAGGGAGCAACGCATGGTGCGAATATTTCATTAAGTTGCCTCCCTAATCATATCACTTCTTTAGTTCTGTTAATTGGTGGGGTAGCCCAATGGTTAAAGCGTCCTCTCGTCCCGCAGAAGACCCGGGTTCGATTCTCCATATGGGTACAATGTGTAAAGCCCATTTCTGGTGTTCCCCGCCGTGATATTGTTAGAATATTGCTAAAAGCGGCGTAAAACCACTCGCTCACATACTAAGACCTTGGACAAAATATTACACAGGAGAAGCAAGGATGTATGTGTGACGGTTCACTATAATTGTGAAATCGTCATGCAAATCATCTGAAAATATTTGTTGGTAATATTCGCCAAGAAACAAACTGTATTCAGAAACTATTTCACATTCAACGAAGGATACTCAAGAGGAGCAATATTCCAGCTATTCCGTGCAGCCCTGTAGGTGATGTAGCCAGGGCAATATTCCAGCTATTCCATGCAGCCCTGTAGGTGATGTAGCCAGGGCAATATTCCAGCTATTCCATGCAGCCCTGTAGGTGATGTAGCCAGGGCAATATTCCAGCTATTCCACGCAGCCCTGTAGATGATGTAGTATGGGCAATATTCCAGCTATTCCATGCAGCCCTGTAGGTGATGTAGTAAGGGCAATATTCCAGCTATTCCATGCAGCCCTGTAGGTGATGTAGTAAGGGCAATATTCCAGCTATTCCATGCAGCCCTGTAGGTGATGTAGTAAGGGCAATATTCCAGCTATACTATACCATGCAGCCCTGTAGATGATGTAGTAAGGGCAATATTCCAGCTATACCATGCAGCCCTGTAGGTGATGTAGTAAGGGCAATATTCCAGCTATACCATGCAGCCCTGTAGGTGATGTAGTAAGGGCAATATTCCAGCTATACCATGCAGCCCTGTAGATGATGTAGTAAGGGCAATATTCCAGCTATACCATGCAGCCCTGTACGTGATGTAGTAAGGGCAATATTCCAGCTATACCATGCAGCCCTGTAGGTGATGTAGTAAGGGCAATATTCCAGCTATACCATGCAGCCCTGTAGGTGATGTAGTAAGGGCAATATTCCAGCTATACCATGCAGCCCTGTAGATGATGTAGTAAGGGCAATATTCCAGCTATTCCATGCAGCCCTGTAGGTGATGTAGCCAGGGCAATATTCCAGCTATTCCATGCAGCCCTGTAGGTGATGTAGGGCAACATTCCAGCTATACCACGCAGCCCTGTAGATGATGTAGTAAGGGCAATATTCCAGCTATTCCATGCAGCCCTGTAGGTGATGTAGTAAGGGCAATATTCCAGCTATTCCATGCAGCCCTGTAGGTGATGTAGCCAGGGCAATATTCCAGCTATTCCATGCAGCCCTGTAGGTGATGTAGCCAGGGCAATATTCCAGCTATACCATGCAGCCCTGTAGATGATGTAGTAAGGGCAATATTCCAGCAATATTCCATTCCATGCAGCCCTGTAGGTGATGTAGCCAGGGCAATATTCCAGCTATTCCATGCAGCCCTGTAGGTGATGTAGCCAGGGCAATATTCCAGCTATACCATGCAGCCCTGTAGATGATGTAGTAGCCAGGGCAATATTCCAGCTATTCCATGCAGCCCTGTAGGTGATGTAGCCAGGGCAATATTCCAGCTATTCCATGCAGCCCTGTAGATGATGTAGTAAGGGCAATATTCCAGCTATTCCGTGCAGCCCTGTAGGTGATGTAGTAAGGGCAATATTCCAGCTATTCCATGCAGCCCCTGTAGGTGATGTAGTAGGGCAATATTCCAGCTATTCCATGCAGCCCTGTACGTGATGTAGCAAGGGCAATATTCCAGCTATACCATGCAGCCCTGTAGGTGATGTAGCCAGGGCAATATTCCAGCTATTCCATGCAGCCCTGTAGGTGATGTAGTAAGGGCAATATTCCAGCTATTCCGTGCAGCCCTGTAGGTGATGTAGCAAGGGCAATATTCCAGCTATTCCATGCAGCCCTGTAGGTGATGTAGTAAGGGCAATATTCCAGCTATACCATGCAGCCAAGCCAGGGGCAATATTCCAGCTATACCATGCAGCCCTGGTGATGTAGTAAGGGCAATATTCCAGCTATTCCATGCAGCCCTGTAGGTGATGTAGTAAGGGCAATATTCCAGCTATTCCATGCAGCCCTGTAGGTGATGTAGTAAGGGCAATATTCCAGCTATTCCATGCAGCCCTGTAGGTGATGTAGTAAGGGCAATATTCCAGCTATACGTGATGTGCAGCCCTGTAGGTGATGTAGTAAGGGCAATATTCCAGCTATTCCATGCAGCCCTGTAGGTGATGTAGCCAGGGCAATATTCCAGCTATACCATGCAGCCCTGTAGATGATGTAGCCAGGGCAATATTCCAGCTATACCATGCAGCCCTGTAGATGATGTAGTAAGGGCAATATTCCAGCTATTCCGTGCAGCCCTGTAGGTGATGTAGCCAGGGCAATATTCCAGCTATACCATGCAGCCCTGTAGGTGATGTAGCCAGGGCAATATTCCAGCTATACCATGCAGCCCTGTAGGTGATGTAGCCAGGGCAATATTCCAGCTATACCATGCAGCCCTGTAGGTGATGTAGCCAAGGGCAATATTCCAGCTATACCATGCAGCCCTGTAGTGATGATGTAGTAGCCAGGGCAATATTCCAGCTATACCATGCAGCCCTGTAGGTGATGTAGTAAGGGCAATATTCCAGCTATACCACGCAGCCCTGTAGATGATGTAGTAAGGGCAATATTCCAGCTATACCATGCAGCCCTGTACATGATGGTGATGTAGTAAGGGCAATATTCCAGCTATACCATGCAGCCCTGTAGGTGATGTAGTAAGGGCAATATTCCAGCTATTCCATGCAGCCCTGTAGGTGATGTAGTAAGGGCAATATTCCAGCTATACCATGCAGCCCTGTAGGTGATGTAGTAAGGGCAATATTCCAGCTATTCCATGCAGCCCTGTAGGTGATGTAGCCAGGGCAATATTCCAGCTATTCCATGCAGCCCTGTAGGTGATGTAGTAAGGGCAATATTCCATATACCATGCAGCCCTATGATGTAGCCAGGGCAGCCCTGTAGATGATGTAGTAAGGGCAA